GGTGTGTGTGTGTGAGAGAGAGAGAGGTGTGTGTGTGTGTGTGAGAGAGAGATGTGTGTGTGTGAGAGAGAGAGGTGTGTGTGTGTGAGAGAGAGAGATGTGTGTGTGTGTGTGTGAGAGAGAGAGAGAGAGAGAGAGAGAGAGAGAGAGAGAGAGAGAGAATAACAAGAGGTTGTAACGGATAGTACCTGTTTTCTTCCAATGCTTATGTGTGTATGCACACAACTGCACATGTTAGTGCATGTTTGTATGCGGGGGGATATGGGTGTACATGTGCATACATCCATACAAAGAAAAGCCAAAGGCCAACTTTGATATCATTCCTCATGAGCTGTCCACCTTTGTTTTTGAGACAGAGTCTCTCACTGATTCAGTTTGTGGGCTGACTGACTAATGAACCTCCTGACCTCCACCCCACCCCCAACCCAACCCAGCTAACTCTGCAACTGTGTCAGCTAGAATGAAATAGTAATGACCTCAGAGCACCCACAATGCACCAGTGTCACATTAAGGAAAAGAAATCAAAGTGCTTCCCCTTGGAGTAATTTTACCAAGAGTGAGCCCAGATTTGAATTCTTCGTGTTTCTCTTTCCCTGTGTCTCCCATCATCTCCTTCTGTCTGCTGTTTGAATCTGAATCTGCGCCTCCCTGAATGCTGCCTTTTGAATTTGTTCATGTGTGCCCCCGACAAGCGGCTTTGCTTGCTATTTACCGAAAGGCACAGGGGGATACTTTACAGAAACGTTTAACAGAGTTTTACGGGGGATTGAAACTTACTTTCTCCAACTGACCCCAAATTGACTCAGGTAACAAAAAGTACTCCAAACATATTTATCAACCCTTATCCCTGCTGCTTCCAACATTTACGTGGGTATTCTTTTTTATAAGGCTGCAATTCAAACAACCCATTGCTGTAAACAAACGAGTACTGCATTGCTTATACATAAACACATGCGTCACTCTTGGGTCAGGGGCATGGAAAGTAAATAACGTAAGATTACAGCTATGCATTAGCTGAGCTTGTAAAAGCTGACTACATGGGAAGTCTACGGCAAGGAAAGCCGGCTGTTAGATGGTTCTCTTAAGGGCAGGTTAAACCAGCAGGCTGAGTCCTTAAGATGCATCATTAAGTTGGTTGTGAGGTACAGCAAACGTGCTAGTCTCTTTGAATATGAGAGTTATTTTCATGATAATCTGTTGTCCTGCGCAATCCTTCTTTTCAATTCTTTAAAAAAATTAAGAATTTAAGGTCTGGAAAGATGTCTCAGAGGTTAAGAGCTACAGGGGAGAAGTGGAGCTATGGAAACATTTTAAAGTAGATTTTTATCTTTGTGATTTCATTATTTTGTAATTGACTTTCAAATTTATATCCTGGCCATATGTTAATATTATTATCAAGAAAGCCATAAGAGTGAGCGATTTTACAGGCGAAGCTTTATGTGGTAGCTCCAGAACGGTCGTGGGCTGCACTGTGCATCGGGGGTCACTTACCTGAAGGCACAACAACCACAGCGTTTTCCAAGATGGTTGTTGGGTGTCAGGCTAGTTAGGAACTTTGCTGATGAGGCGGGCAGACATCTATTTTTCAGGTCACACATATTTAATTGTCTTGGACGGTGACTGCGTTGTTTCCTACGATCTAAAACCTTTCCTGGTATCGTTTCTCCCCGTTTTAATGTATTTCCTTGTCAAGTCAACCTGTCTCAAGAGTTTACTCTGACCAGCCTTACGCTCCTGCAGTAACTTTCACTGTGAGCGTGTAGGAAGCTCTTCAGGGCATCTTCTCCTGTCTCCATTCTGTAACGTAGCTACCTTGAGATGCTGAACCTTTTATTTCCCAGCCTTCCTTTATAGCATGTTCTCAAGTTTCTATGCCTCCTGCTTTGTCATACAGGACTTGCTTAACTGCCCTCTAGATCATGAGGCTAGTCATGTAGCTCTCATGATCGACACGTGAATTAAATTTTAATTCCACCATAGGGTCCACTTTTCGGACACCTGCCATTGAGGACTTCTCACAATCTAGATGATATTTGAGAAACAGCTGTGGAGATGCCAGCAGGTGGGTAGAGGGATCAGGATGACATCAGTTTTCTTAGAGTCTCAGTTAATAGTCAATGTCACTCAGACTTGGATTTGTATTGCAATTCACTTCTAAGTCTTCCAGGGTTTCTTATGGTCATGGCCACTTTTATTGTAAAGCCATATATGTTTATGGTGGTGACTCAAAAGCAGAATTTATATCTACTAAAGCTTTTATTTAAAGTTTCTTTTTTTTTTTTTCAAAACCACAGTCTGAGCAATGCTTATAGATTGTCCTGTGCGGAGGAACACAAAGCGTCAGGGATGCTTGGCCCCATTTCCTTACAGTCCAAATATCTGGAGTTTAATTCTTCCTCTGGAGCCCAGGAGTTAACATATCAGTTACCATGGGCTGCTCAATCAGCCTGTGGGTACCAGGCAAACAAGGTGCTGATGTATAGAAAACAGTCAGAGTGAAAGGGAAACAAGGTTTGGTGGCCAATGCTGCACATGGCGGGTGAAAAGAACAGAAGCAGGCGATGAAAGGAGACAGAGACAGAGACCCACATTGGAGCACCGGACTGAAATCTCAAGATCCAAATCAGGAGCAGAAGGAGAGAGAGCACAAGCAAGGAACTCAGGACCGCGAGGGGGGCACCCACACACTGAGACAATGGGAATGTTCTATTGGGAACTCACCAAGACCAGCTGGCCTGGGTCTGAAAAAGCCTGGGATAAAACCGGACTCGCTGAACATAGCAGACAATGAGGACTACTGAGAACTCAGGAACAATGGCAATGGGTTTTTGATCCTACTGCACGTACTGGCTTTGTGGGAGCCTAGGCAGTTTGGATGCTCACCTTACTAGACCTGGATGGAGGTAGGTGGTCATTGGACTTCCCACAGGGCAGGGAACCCTGATTGCTCTTTGGGCTGACGAGGGAGGGAGACTTGATTGGGGGAGAGGGAGGGAAATGGGAAGCGGTGGCAGGGAAGAGACAGAAATCTTTAATAAATAAATAAATAAATAAAATAATTAACAGACAAAAACAGAAAAAAAATTAGAATGGATAGCAACCACAAGGGACTCATGGCAGTGACAGTTACATGGGTAAGAACTCTGGGAAACAGCGCTCTTCCTGGACTTTGACAGATATTAGAGCAGGACAAGCTCCAGGACACTGTCCAGATAAACCGAGGGTCAACATGGCTCTCTCTTTTAATGAATCAAAGCATGAGACATAACTGCAGAATGAGGTCATAGTCAACATTCCGCGAGTTGGTTTGTAGATTAGATTGGAAGGGCAGGCGCGTGTTTCAGATGGCTGCAGAGTGTTACAGTCAGCACACACTCTGTCTCTCACTGCTTTGCGTGGCCTCCCAGAGAAATCGCCTGCTTAGACTTCTGAAGTTTTCCCTTTTCTGAGGCGCAAATGCTTGTTCCCATCCGAAGACCGTTAAAGAGGATCCTCCGAGGTATGTTCCCAAGTGAAACAGTTGTCAGTTTGTATCTCGGTAACAGCAATAAATCAAAGTCCCGGCAAGGGTCTCACTGTGTCCACAGCATGGAAGTGTTTGCAGAGGTCCCTCTGAGGAAATCCAGACCACTTGCAGAGTGTCAACACAGCAAAGTTCCCACAGTTTACTCCCAGAAGGTGCGGACTAGACCCTTGTGCTGCTCTTAACACACCTTCTGTGTCGTTTCCAGGAAATCCGCATCCTTATCATTCACACAGAGACCCTGGAACTGGGGAAAGTGTGGAGAGGGACGTTAGACTTTGGGGCATCGGGTTCTAAATGAGATGCATTCCTCAGACCCCCACCCTCCATGTCACGAGGATCTATGTGCAGTGGAGGTGGAAAGACCTTTAAAGCCAGAGGTAGTGGATGGGTGACACCAAGCATCCGCCTTCTAGGTGCAACAGAACTAGTGCACAGACTCAGAGAGACTGTGGCGGCACAAGACCTGCACAGGTTCAAGACAGACAGGGTCCCAGCCATGAGGGGGAAATGGACATGGGAATCCATCTCTAACCAGGAAGCTATCTGACACGACAGCCACCAGCAAGAGAAAAGCAGTTTTCTCCAGTGGAGTGCCACTGGGTGTAGCAACAGTCTACAGGGCAGGCCCCTTCCCAGCCGCAGTTGGTGAAGAACCCAGTAATAGCTTTTAGGGACTTTATTGCCCCATTTTGCATTGTTTCAGTATTTTTTTTTTTGTCTTATTGGATTTTTGTCTGCTTGTTTTGATTTTTTTCTTTTTTGTTTCTTGGGGATATTTTTTGGATATTATTGTTTGTCTGCATTTCTTGTTTTTTTGTTTGTTATGTTTTAGAGAGAAATAAAACATAAAACTGAGTGACTAGGGAGGTGAAAAGTTTCTGTAAAGAATTTGGGGAGGGGAAAACATGATCAAACTATATGGTATATAAACATTAATAAAAAAACAAAGAAATTTCAGTTAATGACGGCTATTGAGAATCTTCAAATAGAGGTCTCAGACCTGGAAGCAATGTGCACTCATTACTACTTAGATAGTATTTATTTTTAGGTCTTCTGAGTGGAAAGAACAAAGAAATATATATTTTAATATTTTTCATATAATTGCCTGTATCTATATTGACCTAAATATTCATTGCTAGTCTACCACTACAGGAATCATTAGGGTCTTGCTGGCTTAGTGGGGAATGCCTCGTTCAACACTGGAAACTGACTCCCACCCCCCCACTTCATTAGTTATGCAGTTTCATGCTTGTGTATCAGTGTTAGAATCCTAATGCTTACAACCCTGAGACATAACTGATTGAGTAGGTTATAGTGCTTATGTGTCATTTCATAAGAGAAACAAGTGTGAAGTTTGTCGCTTTAAGGATGCTTACATCTAAGCTGGCGCTCTGAATGTGTCACTGCTACGGTCACCTCCCTCCCATAATTAGAATAAAGCAGACAATCTGTCACTGCTAGATCTTCCTCGTTTGCTTATTATTATTTTTTTCTGTAACTTCTTGGATAATTATTGAACAATGCAGAAGCAGAAGTTCTCCTTGGAATGATATGATCTCAGAGATCACATGCCCGTATGTTCGTATCCACCTGGCATGCTGCGAGAAACGCTGGACCTCAGAGTACTTTTCAGAGTTCAAATATATACAGTGATGTCTCTGGAGGCAGCATATTTGTGTGTGACGTATGTGGTTCCTGTGTGATGTATGTGTTGTGTATGCTGGCGATCTCTATGTGTTTGTGTGGATATGATGGGTTTATGTGCTGTGTGTTTGTGTATGTAAGTGGGCTGTGTGTTTGCATGTGTATGGTGTATTTATGTGTTGTGTGTATATATTTTATGATGTGTACGTTTGGACGTGATGTATGTTTGTGTATGTGAGAGAAGTGTTTGTGTGTTCGCAGAGTGGATATGTGCTCTTCGTTCATGAGAATGGTGTGTATTTCAGTGAATGATAGTGGATTTTAAATGGTAGCGAATTTTTACAAACTTTAAAGGGATTCTGACATCTCCTTTATCCAAATAGAATAAATGAATGTTGAGTTTTATGACCAAATCTATCCCAGTCACAAAAGAATAATGGCATTTTTTAAAACTGTCATTTTCACCAGTGCCATGGAAATACTTAGTGAAGGTTAATGCCACTCAAAATACATGAAGAAACACAGTCTGTCATCCCTCTCTGACATCATCCAGAAACCAAAGTTCATAGGCACATCATGAGGACTGACGTCTGCTTACTGTCCGGACAAGCCAGTGAAATAGACAGGGGATACGCGTGCCTTCTGTGTGCCTTCCTCCCATTCTTCACGGTGAAGTTTGCTCTCTGTCAGTTTCACACGGGAAGCGAATGCATTATCGCCTTTACTCCCACCCACCCTATAGCCTCTTCTCCCCAGAGGTCCCCTTCTCCTTCTCATGCCTGTTTGTGACCAACTGTTTTAGCCAGGGCTATTTGTGCTTTTAAATAAAAATATAACCCTTCATCCCTTCCCTTTCCTTCCTCCGACCCATCCCAAGCCCCATCTCCGTCTCAGTGATAGCTCCTTTGCCTGTGACTATTGTGTGCATGCACGCACGCGCACATGCGCGCGCACATGCTCACCTCTCTGAGTTGTTGCTGTTGCTCTTATGTGTATAGTACAAGAGTTGAGTACTTTTTATTAAGTAAGCAATTGGGGGTCTCGTCCCCGAGAGAAACCAATTCACTGTCTCTCAGCAGTCATTGGTTCTCTGTAGTTCTTTGCTTAAGGTAGAGGAGGTGAAAAATTTTTCCCCTTCTAGTTAAGTATGTTTATTGATATCATCACTGCTCCCTTTTAATTGGGCTACAAGATACTAACTAGGTTTGTGAAAGATCTTTTCATACAACCTTCATTTTGGCTACTTTTTTCTCCGCCCCCCTTATCTCCCCAGCCCTCCCCATCTACACGTTCTATCCCTAGCACTACCTCCCTCTGTTTTCATTTTAAGAACATTCTACTAATCTCCATCACATGGCAAAAGGACATCTGTCAATCTAGGGACGACACATACACAGAGTAGGGCAATCTTTGCCTGCTACACCTCTGGCAAAGTAGTAATGTCTATAACACACCAAGATCTCAGATGACTAAATATTAAGAAAATAACCTGATCAGAAGTGACCTACAGAGCTCAATAGTTCTCAAAAGGAAAAATACAAACGGGAAGGAAATACTATAGGATGGGTTTGATACATTTAGGTATTGTGGGGATGCAGATGAAAGCCTCTTTGGGAGGCTACCTCACTTCAGTCAGAACTGCATTTATCAGGAATACCAATGGTGAGGAATGCTGGTGTGGATGTGTGTGTGCACGTGTGCCTGTGTCTGTGTCAGGGGAAGGGGGCGCTCTTACCCTGTTGCTGGGAGTGGTGGGGGTGTAAACTTGTGCAGTTTTTCCACTTTGGAAATCAGTCTAAAAGTTTCTTAAAAACCAGAAATGAAGCTCCCTCTGCATTTGAAATGCAATTTCAAATTTGAAATGAAAGTCGTCTCCCCTTTCATAAACAGCAGAGTCCTGATTTCCCACAGCTCGTTCCTCTCGGCAGATGCTCATTCTGGTCTCTGTACTGTGACGTTCAGCACATGCATTCATTTAGGCAACTCTCCGCCTTCTGTTCTGCTCAAGCCAGCCAACATTAATTAAACATTACACAATGGCCGAGTTAGCTTTAAAAGGAGGGAAAATCACTCCCATTGTTTTCAATATTTATATGTAGTAGGAAAATGTATGTATATAAACAGCTATAACAAACTACATCCCGAAGTATTACAAAAGATGTTAGTAATGATGGACACACAAACAGAAGCGAATAAAATAATCATGAAGGGAGATAAGAAAACAGAGTCACAAAAACTGAAAATGGGCATGCAGAAGACATCTACCCTGGGCTGGGAGAGCAAGTCAATGAAAGGGGTAGATGCTAAAATCTCTTAGATGTGTTTTAAAAATTTGTCATTAATTTTATTAATTCAAAACATACCATATACACAAACACACTTGTCATACCATATACACACAAATACACATGGCACAAATGCCCATAGATATACAGACACACATGTCATAGACACAACATACATACACAAAAATACACGACATAAGCACAACATATACAAAGACATATGACATAATCACATACGACACACAATCATAAAGGGAATGAACATACCATATGCACAGAGAAACACATGACATAGGTACACTAGATACACAAATACACATGCCGTACATACACAAACATATATAGTACAGACACACCATATGCACACAAACACATATGATATATACACATTACATATACATACATGGCATAGACTATATTACACATATATACACATGTCATAGTTATACTAGACAAACACACATGGCATAGACATACCATACACATACAAGCATACATGGCATAGGCTGTAGTATATTAACACACACAACATAGATAAACCAGACACACAGACATAAATATACCATAGGCATGCAGGCACATAGAGATAACATGTATACACAAAAAAAGATCACATAAATATATATATCACCTACTCATAAAGATGGGCACCACAAACACCCTTGCTTAAATTTTATATTGATATTTCAATAAAAATACCCATAAATCTGGGGAGTAGGAAAAAGGAAAAGGAAAATTATAAAACGTATGATTACAAATAATTTTAAGAATTAATACTTCTTTAAAAAAGTAATTCCTTCTTACACCAAGATCATTGGGCTACTGAGGGTCACGTCTTTATGTTCCCAGGTTTGACAAGTTGATACAATAGAGAAATTCCACGTTCTTCTTGAAGGTTCAGTTCTGGAGCGATCACGTAACAGGAATGGAAGCTGGTCGAGTGAGAGCCAGCAGCACCATTGCTTCATCCGCAGGGACATCTGTTCTACCACCAGTTCCAAGCCATGATTAGCACGGAGGTAAACGCTTATATGGCTCTCTTCCTAAAACCTTTGTTTCTCTTTAGATCTACAGTCTCCAAACAGGAGACGGTCTGAGCTTTCTCATAAATATAAGAAAACCATAGCAACAATCTCCTTATTACCACTGTCCCTCTACTAGGCAGTCGGCAGAATCTGACACATGAGGAAGCTTCTCTGCTGTGTCCATTTATATCAAAGCACTCCATTGTGGGGTGGGTTTAGTGAAATGGGAAAGTGCATGTGTAGCAACCATTGGCTTTATAATAACTCACTCTGGCTACCATCCTGATGACCTTATACATTATCTTTATAGGTGATTTTGATGTTTTACTGAAAGGTCAAGATACAAAGTTAGTTATATCTTATCTTTAGCTGTTCATGCTGGGTCATGGGTTATTATTCCCTGGATATGAGGCTCTTACACAGATGTCACATAGACTCATCATTTCTGGCCTCTCTACCTTCTGTCAGCACGGGGAGCATTTCCCTTCCCACATCCTCATCCATTGCTCCAAAAAGAGAGGTCTGCTGTTGATCAACATTTTTATTGATTCAAGCTTTTCATGCTTTTTTGGTATCTTTCCTTGCAATATTTTTTAAAAGAAGGTCAAATGCTACATTCTAAAATATTCTTCATTCATGTTGAGCAGATCACACATACCTATGATTTGTGCCCATTCGGATATAGTCCTAATGTGTCAAGGTTGAGACGTTAAGTAAACTAGAGATTTCAAAGCTAAACTTCCCACAGTAACAAAAATTCACCTCCCTTGCAATGACGTATGGCTAAAAACATTTAATAGCAAAGTCTTTGTCCAGTAAGTGTACATTTCTATGACTGTATTGCACACTGAGATTTTCTCCATTTTACACAGCTCAACATGGGCCATCTTTTGCTTGGAAAAAGGGGAAATGGCCCATTTTCCTTTAACCTATATATCCTCAGGCTGGATACTCGTGACTTAGAAGCATTGCTGGGCCTTTATCCAATATTAATTTCTCATGGTTTTTCTGATCATTACCTAAACATTCACCCAGGCAGAATTTAATTTAGACTAACCTTTGTTTAGCATCACCAAGCCATCTGCTCACTATTTTTCCAGTAACATATCTCCTAGGGGATGTTACCATAGCTGTTTCTCTCTCAAAATATTTTTAGACATTGGAAAATAGTCTAAACGTTTCGTTAAAATAAGAACGTTCTTGGGCCAAAGAGATAGTCCAACAGGTTAAGGAACTTACTACCAAACCTGATGACCTGAGTTCTAACCTCAAAACCTAAGTGGTAGAAAGAGAGAACCAACTCCCACAAGGTGTCCTTTGATGGCTACATGTGAGTCCTGGCACACTTGCATACACACAAAGACATATGTGCACATACAAGCACACACACATCAATTACTAAATATAACAAAATATTTTAAAATAAGAAACATGTTCACAAAGGCCTATCTGTAAGAGTCAAACCCAGGAACTTTAAATGTAAGGAAACATTCTTCCACTAAGTTAAACCCCCAAATATTGTTTTGACATTTAATATTTTATCTTCAATAAATCTTACAATAAGAGGTCAACTGTTCTTGTCTTCTTTTTGACTAACTTATTAATATACAGCCTATAGCAACATATACTATTGCATATGTATGTATATATCATGTTATACACACATGCATGTATATAGCATATATAGTATAGTTGACAGAAGCAATCACTGCATTGTAGGGAAAATTGGCCATTTACTTTAGATGTTCCTAACTAAATTATTGTGGGCTTTCTAGACCTCATAAAATAAAAGAAATGTCTCTTGGGCAAGGTAAGTAGTGGGTTGACACTGTGATATCACTGGCTTTGAGACATTATTTCCTTCATTGTCACATCTGTTGTTAGGAGCAAACCTAAGTTTCATCCTTTAGTTTTAACCTCACTAACTATTTAGGTATCATAATAAGGCTTTCTACTTACTGGAAGATTATCTACTTAATTTAAATAAAATGGTCATTTGTTATAATTATTTGGATAAATTTCAAATTATTTATTTTATTTAGATCTATCCATCAAAAATCTATCTATCTATCTATCTATCTATCTATCTATCTATCTATCTATCTATCTTCATCTTTTTGTCTCAGTGTTTTGATACATGAATTTATGTAGCCTGGACTGAATGCAGACTCACTGCACAGCGAGTGTGGACACTGAATTCCCATTCCTCCTGCCTTCGCCCCTCAAGTCCTAGGATTATTGGTGTGTGCCCACAAAACAGTCTTCATTTTTTTTAAAAATTAGATATTTGCATTCGTTCTTCTTTTTCTCTAATTTCTCTCCTTTGATCCATGTAGATTTCTAGCTTTGTCTTGACAGTTCTTTTTCTTGTGCTGTTGTCTGTGGTAGGTATTTTGTGTATTATATCCAGTGCCCTTTTCCCAGGCTGACTTTCCAGTTCTCTGTTTGATAATTGCATTAGCAGCTAAGTTTTCACAGATTACAGGTGGTTCTCATCAGTTACAGATTGTAAGCAGTTGCTAACTGATACACAGGGTACAGCATCACCTTTGTATAGAGGATGATTCTTAGGTCATTCGTGGTTAGTGTCAGCTTTGTATAGAGGGAGATCCTGAGTTCATTCATGGCAATAGGTCCCATGGTATCCTCCCAAAGCTAGACTTTATTTGATAAGCAATGTTTACTTAGGTGTCACTTTTCCCTTTCTCTTTCGTCTTTTACTCATTCGTTAGTGTATTTTCCTAAGTCAAGTTTACTTAAAATCATTTGTACGCAATCTCGTCTTCAGACCCAGTTCCTGGAACAGTGAACACAAGATATGAGTTTAACTCTCATGCATGTGATTTTGTTCTTTCATTCATCTGCAATGGAAAAACATTGAATGGGGATCAGGGATGTTGTACAGTGCCTGCCAGAAGCCCAAGTTTAACTTATGAGATTATGGAAAGAATGTAACTGGGCTTTGGGCACCAAATGCCAGAGTTGGAGGAACTTCTACGGAACAGATCAGCAGACACAAATCTTCAGCCATTTGCACTGTGATTACTCAGTATGAATGTATAAATGGCAGTGACTTGTTTTAGAGTTGCTGTTAAGTTTTTTGGTATGCTCTCTTTTAACTTAAAAATTTTCTTTCCTCTTGTGTGGCCATTGTGCACAGTCAATCTTTAAAGTTGAATTTTCTTAAAACTTAAAACTTGTTAGTCTTCATACAAGATTGTGTTTTCAGTTCCATGCCATCTCCCACATTCAAGGTTGTGCGATTTCATCCTTGTACTTCTAGGCAGATACAGCTGAGCATGGGCTGTCTGGGACAGGTGAATAATTTGTGAGGACTTGGACTGTTTTCTATATGTAAATCACCATGTGGGTCTGAAGGCTTGATGCAATATTACAACTATTGTATAGATATCAATTTAGGTTTATGGGGAGAAAATGTTTCTTCTCACACTGGATTTGAGAGGAAACTAAGCCTATAAGGGGGATATCTGAGACTGGGCCATGAAAGGTCTGGCGTTTGTATTTGATCCACCAGCACATGAAGCTACATGTGCCCATGATCTGAATTCAGATGTTATCTGCACATTCATGTGTGCTCCCATTGCAACTTCAGCCTCTTAGCACCTGCCTCTTTAAATAAAGATTCTTACCTACGTGTTTTTTGGAGAGGTCTCTATGACTTGCTTAAGAAAGAAAAATAAATATTTGTTGTGGAATATTTGTTTTCACTGTGTGAAGATGAGGTGCCACTGTGATTGGTTTAATAAAGAGCTGAATGGCCAACATCTAGGCAGAGAGAATAGGCAGGATTTCCAGGGAGAGAGAGAGAACTCTGGGAAGAAGAGATGTGGAGGATGCCAGGGAGATGTGGAGCAAGTCGGACTTATGGTACAGAGAAGCGTGACCAAGATACATGGCAAATTGTAGATTAATAAAAGTGAGTTAATTAAGTTGCAAGAATAGCCAAAGGTATCCATGTTTTTATTGGGGAGCTGGCAGTCACACTATCTAAAGTTCAACTACATTTGAGAAAGCTTACTACAATTATTCAATTCCTGAATATTGAATAGGCAGTACACCTGTGGCTTGTTTATAAGGGCTGAGAGATGGCCAAAGACACACCATTCGTGGTTCAAGCAGAGTTGACAATCACTCACACAGAAAGAATATAGATAGAAAATGGGTGACAGAAAGGCCTGTGAATGGTCCTCTTAGAATGAGTAAGGAACACAAACATTTGCCGTCTGTGAACAAGATGCTGTCTAGAATAAATACTCAGCTGGAGCTATCTGGAGAGAATGAGGTGGGAAAGATGCAGCTCACACCTCATCTCCATTTCTGATTTTAAGAGATTTAAGAACACAGAATCTATGGGATCAGCACTAGACCTTATAAATAGGCTTGGTAGCAATGATTTTGACACAATTACAACCACATAAATGACCTACAGTGTTGGAGCCACTTGCCAGAAAGAAAGATTATCCCATTCCCAGATTATATTTGATTACATTTCAGCACTCTCTTGATAAAAAGGACAATGCATTTTTTTCTCACTCAAATACATTATGTAGGGAGTATGGATATTCCATTCCTTTGAATTGTCAAATTGCCTCTCCCAAAATTACTAATTTTCTTCAATTTCTTATCCCTTCACTACCTAAATAAAATATGGTGATAGAGATCATTTTATATAATAATATTTAGGCTATATGTATATATAAGTATATTTTGTAAATGGAATGCGAGCAAAATGTAAGAAGAGACTCAGGAAGAAATGGATGGATGGCCCTTTATGTATGGGTGGGGCCTCTGTGCAGACCACTTGGTTGTAGCCTACCCTTTCCCACTTTCCCTTGGCTGGCAAGGCCAAGAATCACAGAGGTTGGTAGAAATAGTTTAGTCTTTAAATATTGCTGATTGGATACTGAAAGACTGCAGTGTGAACAGACTAAAGGCTGTGTGATCTGTATTAGAACTAGCTGAGAGGAAATTGACATCTAAACTTTGCTCTGAAAACAAAACAGCTGCTCTGTTTGTCCAAACATGGACCATCCATATGTAGCTTAGATAGGTCCAAAGGCTCCAGTGAGATTGGGCCCTGCCACTTAGAATGTCATCTACTCCAACCTTTACCAAACACTCAATTAAAAATCATAACAAATGACCCGTCTTAGCATCCTACCATGTTGAGCTCTGGTGTGGGAGTCCCCTCTATATACTGTGAGTACCATTCAACGGTCAAACTGTCTTTGGCCTGCGCAGAGCAGAATAGAGGTAGGTGGAGAAAACTAAACTGAATGCTGGGAGAAAGAAGGCAGAGTGGCTAGATACCATGCAGTGAGAGAAGAAAGACATTAGCTGCCAGATGGAACCTTGTCAGTAGGCCACGAGCCTCATGGTAAAATATAAAACAATGAAAATGGGTTAAATTAAGACATAAGAGGTAGCTTGCATCTGAATTAGCTAACAATACGCTTAAGTGATTGGCCAAGCAATGATTGAAATAATACAGTTTTTTTTGTGTGTGATTATTTCAGGAGTCTGGGCAGCCGGGAAATGAACAAGCAGAGCACCCCTTGATTCCCCTGCCTTTTAGAGTTCATCATTCTGGAAAGCCCTTCTAGTGTTTTGACTAATATATCATGTGATCGTTTGGACATTCCTGATCTCCTTATAAGAACATGAAAATATTTTCTGTGATCTACCAGAGTTGAAATAAATTATTTAATAAAGCTTGATAATTATTTGTGCACTGGCTTATCTTCTTACTTCTCTTTCAACCATTTAAGGAGGGAGGATGAATCAGAAGCTTGCATGACTGAGGCTCGATGTTTAGTATGAATCATTTCATTATCAATGACAGGGCTACTATATTGTAAATATTATTGACAGCCTATGACTACCATAAAATAAATTAATTCATACCCACATGTACGTGTGTGTGTGTGTGTGTGTGTGTGTGTGTTTATGGGGGGAGATTAGGTGTGTTACCTAACAATGTGCTAAAATTGGCCCAGATACCTTAAGGATTAAGAAAGACAGAATGGGCACAGGTCTCATTAGAACTAAAATAAATGCACTGTATAATATGAGTCCTCTTGGGCGATTCATTAAACCCTTTAAACACAGGAGTAAAAATGCACACCATGTTAGAGGGGCACTTTGTAATTGAAGACATATTCTGTTTATTTCCTGTCTGTGACACATCTCCATGATCAATGCCACTAACAATTGTTTGGAAGCTGGACCTCCCTGCACCTTTCTTTCAGAGAAAAAATATTTTTATGACTATAAATTAGCTTCTAACGTTAGAAGCTAGCCTAAATCTTTGAACTAATTATCTATAGATCAGCTTTATCTTTGGAAAGATGTCACTTTCTGAGAACAATTTCTAGGGTAAATTTAGAAGCAAAGTAAGAAAAATGAGAATATTTTTTATAGGCTTGCTTAGCTTAGGATCCAGTTTGGCTTGAAGAAGCATTCCAAAAGGAATTTTTTTCAGATTTTTTTTAACAGCTCAGTCATTCCCGTTTTAACACCAAATCCCATCATCAGTTTGATAAGCAATTATATAGCAGGTAAAAAGTTCTTTACTACACTTTAAATAAAACTGCTTCTAGATTAGTTTTCAAAATTTATGTTAAATATGATCTCAAATCCTAATAGGCTCTCTGTGCCTCTATGGACTCTGTGTGCTGTCGTTGTAAATTGAGATTCTGCATTTTTTTCCTTCCTTGTTTTCTACTTCTCTCTTGAAAATTAATGAATAAGATATATTTTTTATATACAAGATTAGTCAAAGCAGCAGATTTCTTAGAATTTTGTGCTGTGATTGAGATGAGAAAAATCACTGCTAAGTCCCAATTAATCCAATTGGGAGTAAATGCTCTGAAAAATATCCTGGCTCAGAACTCACTACCCATGGTGGTGTTTTTCCCCACATTCCTGACACAAGTGAATATTATTGTGGATGGAGATTATTCTCTCAATTAACCTTTTTCTGAAAGGTTAATAGTGGTTTTTTTGGTGAATTTTAAAAATAAGTACATGAGAAATCACCAGTGTAAAAAGAAAAAAAAAATGATTATAAAGCACAAAGTAAAATTCTAAGTCAAATAGGATGAGAATTTGCTGCACAGCTATTTCCTCTGAGCAGAGCACTCTATTCTGGAGGGAATCTCCTGGAGTCGCAGAAGGCTCAGAGGGAGCCTCTTTAAATTCGGTGAATAAAGAACTCAGAAGTCTCAGGAAGTCCATGGAATTTACCACGGCCCTCACAAGACTCTGTTCCTCCTCAAAGTTGTATAAGCAATAAGGACGGCTCTCCGCTCTCAGGGATCTCTGTGGTTCTGAGTCTTTACCTGCCTGGGGTGGTCTTCTGGTGATGTAGCTTCAATGCTCCTGTATCCTCCCACCCACACTTGTGAAAGCAATAGTAATGAATTCACCGGTGCACCAGATTGGATCCAGGTGGTCACCTTGCTTTGCTTTGTTGTAGATTCCCTATCTGGGCTAAGTAGACATTTATTTATATCTCCTCAGAAATGGTCTTATACAACACCACTTTACTTAGAAACATGTTTCTTGGTAAATATAATTTTAATTTTATGAAAGAAATCTAAACTGGTTCCCTCTGTTTTTCTTCCAGGAGTAAGAACAGGACATTTACACACAATTCGGTTTTGGTGGGATATAGTTCTTTAGAAGCAGAGGGAATATTTCAATAAGTGAACAAATTGCTTGCTTTGTAGAATGCCCAGGGACATATCAAAAAGACAATCGTGTTCTAAACAAATCTCAGTGTTGGTATGGATAACATGTAACAACTCGTGTTTAGAGTGTGGCATAATAATAAACTTTTCTATTTTAAAATTACTTGATAAGCTATCATTGCCTGTGATGCTCTTGTTTTCATTTGAAAGAGACAGCAATAGCTGCCTATTGAATTGTGATTGCAGGGCACTGAATGAAGGACTCAGTAAAAACTGTACAGTGAGGACATCCTGGTGAAGCTGGAAACACAACGATGCTGCTCCCCGCAGTGAGGCCTGACACAGGATCTGCGCCTTACTGCACTGACTGTACCTGGTGTTAGCCAGGGCGCAGCGCCACACTTTCATCTGCTCTCCTGATGCCACTACCTCCCCGGTCACAGCAGGCAGCAAACCTGACCTTACTTTGCTGACAGAGTTGGGGTTCACTTTCCTGCCCTCATCTGTAGGATCAGGATTCAGAGAGAAAGAAAAGCGAAATCCTTTTGATAAATCAAAATGCTTGAGCTTTTGAACGTGGTACGTTCACATCAAGTAGTTCAAGAGAAACGTGGGGGTAGGAGTCACAGACTGAAATGAGTGAGCCAGACCGACACAGAGTGAAAGACTAAAAACACAAGCTGACCCTACAAGGCTTGAGATAAGGGCTCTGAAGATTTCATTTTGTTCTAAGCCAGATGAGATTGCTTGAGAAAGAATATTTCTGAATAAAGGCAACCAAATGTTTGTATGTTTGTCATTAATGAATTCAGAATCTAAATGAGATCGATCCATGACTATAGATTTAAATTTCTGTTTTGTTCATGTGATTTGTGTGTCACTTTAGATTCTGGATTCACTGGTAATCTTTCTTTCTGTTGAATATCACATGCTGTCATTTTTTTTTAATTATTCAAGGAAATCGTTGGGTTGATTTTAATGTTATAGGATTTTCTATGAAGTGGTAGACTGGATTGAAAATAAAAATGTTTTGAGCACTGCTGTGGAAGTGAGCCTCACTGTTTATGTTTGTATATGCGTGTTACTGAAGTGATGGACATGACTACTCAAGAACACCAGAATTTCAAATTAATACTACCAGAAAGCTTGCCCTGGGTTCAAAAGTTGAGAAATGTGAACTTCAAAGATACATTGATAAAGTCCAAATACTGCCTAGGAAGAGAAAAATAATTCATATGAAATATCAAGAAAAGCAAAGAGCAAGTATGGCCTCATTGATGACATGTCACCAAGAGGTGATTCATAGGAACAAAAGTGACAGTCTCCCTTGGTGTCAGGTCTTTCATGATGATGGGGAGAACCTGAGGATCAGAAAGAGGTTGTGACTGGCACAGAAAGGAGAGGTTGTGATTAATGGCATACATGTTATGGTTGTTAACACTGAGTACATCCTATTCAGAAGAAGGGAATTGTCAGAGTGCCACCTTCCGCCTGTACATATACATCATACAAGTACACGTATTTAACAGTCTTAGGTAAATCACAGCAGTGGCAGTGAAGATTCTGTTGTGTTCTGCAGGGATGTGCACACATCAGTACTTGCTCTACCACTCATGCAGGGATGGTGCACACATCAGTACTTGCTCTACCACTGATGCAGGGATGGTGCACACATCAGCACTTTCTGTACCACTGATGCAGGGATGGTGCACACATCAGTACTTCCTGTACCAGTGATGCAGGTATGGTGCACGCATCAGCACTTACTGTACTCCTGATGCAGGGATGGTACACGCATCACCACTTCCTGTACCACTGATGCAAGGATTTCACTTTATTCATCTCTGCCCACATAGGATCAGATGTGGAATTCTAAAAATAGGCTCGATGAGGAATTAAGCTGGTAAATATTTGATTTAAAAACTAATCTGTTTTTCCTTTTGTCCCTCTCAATTTCAGTTGTGCTTTACAGACAAAGGGCATTAACTTTATCATCCTGAATTTATGCTTCCAATTGAAAACACTTCACTGGTTGACCAAACTTATCATTCGTTAGGAATGTCCACATCTGGACGGTGACGAGTCCAGTGTTTGCATTCCCCAAGCCTTGCTGCTGAGCTGAGCTGATTTCCTGGCCAGTTTATAAAGCTTAGCTTTTTATAGCTACTCAATGTACAGGCGGTATAGCCTGTACCTCCCTGAAGCAGTTTCTTTCTTTTTCCATCTGTTTGGGAAACATCACTTGCACTACATAAAGCCATAGCATCTGGAAAGGAAAATGAGCCTGATCAAATCAGTCAACTAACAGGAATAGACATATTTATATGTTATTTAGGGGAAATTACTTAATAATAAAACAAGATTACTAAGAAGCAGTAAGGGGGCTGGATAGATGGTTTAGCAGTTAACTGTGATACTGCATTGCTTTTCCAAAGGACCTGGGTTCAATGCTCAGCACCCAAGACAAGGGCCTCAGAACCACATATAACTCTAGCTCCAAGAGTTTGGCATTCTTTCCCGTATTTGAGGTACTTGCACACACCACCATATACTGCTACATAGACATACACAATTAAGAAAACAATTATAAACAATTAAGAAAAAACATACAAGAAGCAACATTTGATAAAATGTAATTAAGAAAACCAACCATATTTAGTGAAACCATGTTAATGGTTTCAGTCATTTAAATGTCTCTAGAAAAGTCATCATGATTTAAAGTAGTAGTATAACTTTAGAGAGACATATGGCAAGCATTTGGAGGATAAAAAAAGTTGAGCTGTAGGCATTATTGTTCCAGATTAATTTGAAGACTGTGACAATTCTTTATCTTCAGAGAGGAAGCTCTTTATGATGTCTACAAAAAGACTGCATGGTAGATCAAGACCTCACTGCTCTCCATGTTAGAAGAGTTGACTATAATCTAGGG